AAATTTGCTTTTGCATTAGAATTTGTAGATGTACTCCGTCAGAGCTCCAGAGTGCTAATGAATGACCTTTAGTCAATTTGTATATTCGCATACACATTTGTATGAAACGATTCGCGATTAAATCATTGCCTAAAGTTACTGCCACTCGAAGTCCCGTCGAAAATTTGAGATTGGTTTCTCTCGTACAGAGCTGAACAAGTCAAGTCAAATTTGATTGAAAAACTATTGGATAGTGGCTTTGAAATTTTTTCAAGCCAAGTTATATCTAGTAACGAATTTTCGTTTTTTTAGGCGTTTTTTTTTACTATGAAATAGAACTCTGAGACTATACCAACTGTCTTTCATGCGAAAAATTCTAGTAAATTTTATGTTTTGACTAAGGGTGTGGGTGTGAACATGAGTGTGGCTGTATCTATTCATAACATCCACACTCTTTCTATTAATTTAATCTAATTGAACTAATTATATATTTCAAATGAATAATTTTACTGAGTTCTTAAAGCTACGAATGTTACTAAGTTGTGTATCGTTTGAGTCTATTGATTAATATTCTATCGATTTCTAATGTCTGTTGCATATAGAAATAAATATTTCAGGTCATTTTTTCTGATGGTCACCATATAAAAAAGATTTCTGTCAAGATCAGTTTTACATCAAGAACTTTGCAATAGCAAAAAAATGCATGTAATCATTAAACAAATTTCTGATTGACAAAATACTAAAAAAAGTTCTCAAAAAGTTTCTTTTTATAGCAGTGAAAATCAAAGTTGAGATCGATGCAACAGCTTTTTAACTTAAATCCCAATCTCAAACTTTCAAAATATGATTATCTTATATTACTTTTATCAAATGAAAATTCAGATTTCATTCTTTTTAGGGATAATATATTGTTCATAATTAAAATAAATATCTGATATATTCTTCGATTTGTAGTACACTTGGATGTGTAGGATGTAGTGAATGACACTAGATAGTAACAGATTTTTTTTTGAAATATTTGAGTGCTTCTTAGTGTACTCCTTTATCTTTATGTATATTACTAATGTTTTCAATACTTAAGGCAATGTCACAATGTTTTAAAGGTACAGATTTTACATTAATTCTAAGTGATTCATTGTAATATTTCAATGCAATGTCATATTGGTCTTGACAACGATTTATATTACCAATATTATGATGTGATTGACTAACGTCAGGATGATGTTCAGGTCAATAATCCAAACGAATATTCAATGCTTGCCTATGATATTCAAATGCTTTGAAATAATTTTTCGGTCGTTCATATACACAGCCTATATTATTTAAACATTAGCAATATAAGGATAACTTTCACCGAACGCGTTTTTTGATAATTTCGAATGCCGTGTTATATGACCCAAGTGCTTGTTGGTAATCAATTTTTGTTAAAATAATCACATACAATACTGATATCACTAGGTGAAAGATGCGGATGATCTGATTTTAATGATGTGATTCTCATATAGAGTGATTTTTTTGTGCCTTTCAAGACTTGAATTATAATCATCTTTTTCATCACGGATGCTACAAGGTCATGATAACAACGAGCAATATCTGGATCATTAGGGGAAAGATGATCGAGTAAACGAAGATAATAACAGTTTATCGAAAAGTTTTTTTGACAACATGTTTGTCCATTTTTGACTCTCTTAAAACTATTCTAGACGAATGAAAAACTATGGGTTAAGACTAGAATTTCGTGCTCTTTCCGAATATGGGCTCAGAAATTGTGTACCTATTCTTGTCCTTGAGTACTGATGGAATCTTTGAACGTCATGAAAAATTGTTGTGAATGGCGAAGAAACAGACATTGTCGACCTCCGTAAGTCTCTTTGCAAAGGTGCTAAAAATGGTTCAATTTGGTAATCTTGTAGAGCAAACAATTCTTTACCAAATATTATGTCGAACTAAAATATAGGTTTTACACAAGTGAAACTATAGCCATTTTCGCAAGAGCTACATCTGCCTAAATCAAATTTTGATCAAAAAGCCGACTTTTCAAAAATGTGGCTGACAGAAAAACAATAATTTGGATATTTTATTAGAACAAAAAACTAAACTCAAATATCACATTTTGTAGAAGAAATTTTTCTCTACAGGCTGATATTGAAGAAAAGCTTCAGCATTTAGTTTTGAATACCAATAGTGGAAATACGAAAACGTACGAAGAAATTTTCCGTCCAAACTATCTGTTTAAGCCTTTCAAAGATTTTCTCTCTACTATCGGGCAAAAACAGGTACATACTTTCTGAGCCCATATTCAGAAAAAGTAAAAAATTCTGACTCTAACTCATAGTTTTTCATTCATCTAGAATTCTTTTAAGAGAGTCAAAAATGGGCAAATATTTTGTCCAAATTTTTTTTGATAGACGGTTATTTCTCAGCTTCTTCAAAATTTACCCATATCTGCTAAGACATTTCCAAATGCAAAAACATTTTTTTCTCCACTATCATAGTCATTTTTCATATGTGCAAAAATACCTTTGAGATGATGATCATCATCAGAACATAATATCATTTGAATAATCTATACATGATTATCATCATTATGTACATCAACAATTCGAAAGATCGATCCAAGCATAACTAAAATTTCTTTTTCATTTTTAAAATGACTTAGTTTTGTAATATCAGCGAAAACTTTAGTTGTGACAGAAGGATCAATATCAATTCCAAATAAGACTTGTTCAAAATAATTAAAAGTCGAATCCAGAAATCGAAGTTCTACGAAACGATCGATACTAGTCGAGAAAAAAAAGATTAATCGATATAAATGGACCAATTGAATTGAACAGGATTTTCATTTCGTCTATCGACATTACTTGACTTCAATAAAGATGAACAGGTGACGAATATCTGTGATTGTTGAATTGCTCTTGAAGATCGACAGTAAAGAAGCGAAAGAGAAAAAGTAAACTGATGTTTTGTACCCGCATTGCCTTATTTAGCATTCGATAAAGAAATAATTCCCTTGTATACTACTGAAGAGCTTTACGTGAAGAATATTTTTTACTAAATTCTTTGATAACCTTCAATTCAGAATCATTGTCTTTGTTACAACGAGAAATGAATTCATTATTCTCTAGTTGAGTCGATTTTAAACGAAGTAAAACATCGATAAATATTTGAGAATGAACAAATTGACTATAGAAGTTGAATGTTTTCTTTTTATATTTCGGTTCATATCAATAAAACACAAATAGCAAGTGCTACGACAAAACATTGATTACTTCCACCTTTATTTTAGCTGCTCTCTTCCCTTTTTTCTAAACAGACCGTTTTACGGTACCTTCGATAAAGTTTTCATGTCTGTCAAAGTGTCGAGATCTGTTTAGTCGGCTCTAAAGTTTTCACTTGACATATTGCGTTAAAGATCTCGGTGTGTTTGGAAACATTAAATCCATTTCCGACATCAGAATCTCAAAAATTATCATAACTGATCTATCTGAATTTCCGAAAGTTTCGAAATCCTGCTTCGAACACTCTTAAAGAATTTCAAATAGTAACAAAATTGGAAACCCTTTAAGAATTTTCAATGGCATGTTCCTGTTTTGAGAGTATGGGGTGTAAGTCAATGTTAGTGGAAAGAAGACTCACACCACACCCTTCTTCTACATTTTAATCTCACAGAAATTGAGATAACAACTTTTCTCAATATTTCAGAATTGATTATGTCTGTTTTCCTAAACATTTAACGCTTTTTCATAGACGTTTTCCTGGTGTATCCTGTAAAAGAAGAGTGAATTGGTCCTTGTTTAAATGTGACACGATTTTAGAAAAATACAATGATTAAGAGTGTGCTTTCAGTCTAAAAAATGAAGCAACAACTATGGAATCTTGTGGACCATCGACAAGAACAAGTAAAATCTAGTAAATCATATCTTAATGAATAATGAACATCGATCGATTTTTTAAATAATCGAAAAATTTAGTGTTGACGAGAAAGAGGCATCCCGAATTCTTCAGTGTTTTTATCGTGTGCAAATTACCGCATTTTGTCAAATACTTCTTGAATGTCTATGCAGACAGCGATCGTAGATCTATTTGAAAGAGTAGCTGTCAATGTCAAGTCGTCAACAATAGTAAGAGTACATATTTTGAAATCTTTTGTACCACATGAAACTTAACTGTTTGTCAGTTTGTATTCTATGGTCAGTAAACCAGGCTTCGATTCTCTGCGACATTATACATTCAAACCATTTGAATTGATTAAGTAAAAGAAAATCAACGAAAATAAGATATTTTGTTAGAAATACATCCTGGTTTAGACAAAAACCACTCTCACCATCCTATTCTTATTTAAAAAAATCTTCTTTCCGTGCGCATTTATTAAAAAGATTAATCATTATATTCAAATATTTCTAGATCGTGGGTATACATAATAAGTGTAAAGTGAAATTTCACCCACCTATTGCCTTGATGACATCTTCCAGTTAATGTCAATGTCCACATCATCAGTGTTAATCTGGGTATTAGTAGCTGCTTTGCTACTATTTTAACTCATGTAGATATCATTAATGATTAAGATCTTTACTATACCATTTCTCTTCTTTGTCTTACCTTTCTCAATCTACTTTGACGAAAGTTCAACTTGTAACGACTGTATACTTTACTGTACTTTCTCATAAGTATGTTTACAAAACTAGGTCACTCATCAAAATAGAGTAAAACGTGTATGACTAAATAGAATCACACGAATCTTTACATAGAAGCAACTTCTTGAGTGTTTTTTTCTAGATATTTTCAGATCGATTTCTTTTTTATTGGATAATATAAGCAAAAGTTGGCATTGGCGATTGTTATATACACAATGGTCGAATATAAATGCGAAATCTTAACTTAAGATTAGTGTACTGTGGTTTGGAGTAGTCGAGTTCTAGAATTTGCATATCATGGGATCTGTAATACTACTTCTAGCATCAGACCTCTCATTCATATGTTTGAGATCAATACTCGACTCTTGGCAACGCGATTTCTTTTTCTTATGTCCAAGATGAAGTTTTCGCATGAGTAAATGATAAAGTGGCTCGACTATCAACTTGTACAATAGGAATACCAGACCAAGTATTTCCAAACAAACTATAGTAAATAAAATGGTACGAAATATAATCTCTGCGTATCTAGCTATTGGTTGTTGTACGTTTTTGACAAAGAACGGTGTTTCATCTATCTCAATTTTTAATACGGTCTCCATTGCTGTTGATTGAATGTATTGGTCTTTTGAAACATATAAGTTATCTGATTTAGTTTTCGGTGTAAATATGTAGATACCAGTGTAGCTGCTCTCTTCGCCCTTCATCGGTACTGTTTCATTGATGACTTTTGTTAGTGATAGACCTACATTTAATGTTTGTGCTAGAATATCTCCATTCTTTGAAAAAGATTGAAAAGCATTGAATTGTTTCAAATTATATAATTCTTCTTGGTATGAAGGACCACTGAGACCTATACGTAGAGCACCAATAATCTGTATATCGGCTAAGATGATTTCTACTGAAATGAGTTGGAAAGGCAGTGGAATCGATAAATATAGAATTGAACGAACATTTTCACACGTGGACCAACGAATCGTCGACCAAGTCGTGCCAAATAGACCTCTAAGCGATATGCTATCACACATCACTAGCGTATTGATGAAATCAACATGAAGCATCAAATTTTGTTCATCTAACAAATCGAACATAGGTTTTTCTGTATGCGTACGTGGTATAGCCAATGATTGAAGACCTGTTTCGAATTTCGCATTACGAATTAGTTGTTCACAATCAAAATAGGAACCAGACGATGTTTCAAATGGATATTGATGGTAAAACATATTACTAAATGAACAGGCAAAACAAACCATAACCACCAAAGACAACGACGCTAACCCACCCAACCACATCTCACCTTCGCCAATCAAATCTGTTCTTTTAAATATATATTGTATTTTTTTCTTTACTCGACTAGCTTTTTGATGATGGACACAAAAATGCAGTACTGCAATCACTATCAATATGAGAACATCAATAGCGGCTACAATCAATGCCCAAAATAAAGGTGAGACAACCACGCAATGTCCTTCTTTTATATTGAACATATTTCCGATTAGAATTTCTTCAAATATGGTACTTTCCGGTGATTTTGGATAGGCAATAACTTGTACGATGTTTTCTAGTGCTGATTTAGGTATTTCATCCACTGAGCCAAGAGAGCAAAATGATTCATTTGCACACAGCATACATTTAATTGAAGAATTGCCAGGATTTTTTGTGCCAGTTGGACAAAGGATACAATCATTGATACCATATTGATCTTTATACATACCAGGTAGACAACCTTCTTCGGATGTAATCAAGGGCACTGATCCTGTATTTGTTATTGATGGAAAGTAGCCTGGTGGTGTAGGGTTGAATATTAGCAAATTGCCCATATCATCCATTAAAATGAGGGATGTTGGTGATGAAATGATATTTAAAAATACGGAACTAAAACTATCCGGTACTAATTGATGATAATTAGGGAAAACTGATAACGGAGTACTGTTAGAATTATAAGTAGTCGATACCATATCATAGAAAAATATCTGAGATGATGACCACTGATACATTAATGAATAAGTGTTCACAAGTATTGCAGCCAAGTTTCCATCATCAAGCCAAGCTACACTTTTTCCATTTCCCAATGATCGACCACCTGTATTTCTGCTTCTATAAGTTAATTTCCTCGGATCACTAATGTTTACCGAAAGTAAGAAAACTCGATTGATAAATGGCATACCAACTAAAACATCGCTACGACTATTGATACTGATTGACATACTATTTTTTGCCGAATAGATATTTGCAGTCGAATAGGTAAGTAAGTCTTGCCATGTGCCTGGAGTAGCTGTTGCTATATATTTGTCAACAATGATTGGACGACGATTTGATGAATTGAAATTGAGCAGATAAATGATGGGACTATACTTGACTCTTTCTTTGGAGTCGTTTTGAACGAAGCCGGCGATGATACCGAAGTTGTCACTAATTTCAACGGCACGAGGTATAAATGAACTATTTGACCATGTTAAACTGCTATTCCATGATTCCAGGGTTGAAACATTCTGAGAATCGAATATGGTGACAAATGCATTCGAAAATCCATAGGCAAGAAGGCCTTTCGGTTCAACCCCGATGACATAGTACTCTTGATGGTCATAATTGTCTAGATATTGAATAGAGTAAGAGAAACTGTTAGCACAAGAGTTGGGTGAATCGGACAGATGATTTGTTAGATTATATGTTGCTACCCCAATAAATGGTCGACTGCTGCCATTGATCCATTCACCAGCAAAGAAAAATTGTTTTGGGTTTTTATTCGGTCTTTTACCAACAGCAGCAGTATAGACATAATAATTTTGTGAGTTTTCAGGATAGTTAATGAAGCACTGAGATGAACTTTGCGTGTTATTGTACGGTGAAAATTGAATAAAAAACCTCGGTGGATTGTGAGCATTTTGAGCTTGTACGAGGAGAATTTCATTCATAGCAATTTTTACTCCATAAGCATCGTAAATAGTTCGGTCAGGGCTGAAGACACCATTGAGATGATGAACAGACAGTATTAATAAAAAGTCAATGGTCATGTGTTGAATGAGATTCATGTTCTTATTGATTGAGTCAATTTGTGGAGTTGTTAAATGTATGAAGTAGTTTCGATATCTGAAAAGTGTCAAGATAGACAAAAAGAATTCATGATTCTCAAATATCTTGTAATATGTTGAGAGTTTGAATTATATTAGCAGATAGCATCGAATTAGAACACATTAATCCCGTGTAAGAAAAGACGCTAGAAATTTCATCTTAATCGACTGTTTATCTTTTTCCGCATAGGAAAGATCTCTATTTCGTTTTGTTTCCTCTTATTTTTTACAAACCAGTGAGAGAGCAAACAAAAATCGATCAAAATTGGACTGATGTTTTTATATGCGAATTTCCATCATGACTTTTGGAAAAGAAATTCTAAATCGACTCGACTTCATCTGCTTGAAAGGTTTTTTCGTGAAAACTTATTTACTCGAGCTAGTTTTTAAGAGTTTTTTCTAAAAAAACGAACATGCCAATCGTTGACATTCATTCCATCGTTGTATGCTTTGACCAATACTGACGGAGAAGAGCGAATAGATTGCCTTTTGTGGAAACATTGTGCTATGTGTTGCATATGAAAAAGTCTAATGGCTCTTTTATTTTGTGAATGAAGACTTTAATCGTTGATGTTTCAATTTGAATTGTGAATGGATTACATCGAGATTGAAAGAGTTTCGTTTTTGGTGCATCTATATCATTGAAAAAATTCTATTAAAAATTTCTTAGAATCGCCAGAACGTTATATTCCGAAAAGTGAAAATCAGGTTTTACACCATTGAAGCTGTCAGTGAAATATAAGTATAGCAAAAGCCACTTAGTTTGACATTGTTTGGTGTAAGACAATTTCACGTGTATGAGTTACGTCAATGAACACAATCGCTTTCATATGCTGAATGTCATCGAGTGGAGCTGTCTTAAGATTATACGTATTCTTTCCTTGCAGCTTTAATTTGATCACTAGTCTAATAATGTTGAAAACTAAGTATACTTACGTGCTAAGCACGACTCGACTCTACAAGTGTTGTTTTGCTTGCTTGCGATTTGTATGCCTCTGTAATTATCAGTGACAAAACTACTTGATTTTTCCAATTTATGTATGTTCACGTCAACTAAAGCAGCATGAAATTTTTCGTCAGATAGATAATTATTTTTTTTCATCAGGTAAACGGTTTGTTTTTCACACATTTGCTCATTATCACTTATGTATCGTTATGTCAAAGGTCGTCCTCTTGTTTTGCTCTGCTTTGCGTCTCCTTGTTTTATGATGAGAAAATGCGCACTGATATTTACATGCATATGCTTATTAGACTTCAATTTTGCAATTTCTCTGTCATGATTAATCAAAACATCACTCTTTTGATTCACAAATAAAATCAATGCAATTAATATGGATGTCGGTATGGTGTGTAGATGTGGGCGTGGGTCGCCATTAATTGTCGTTTACGCCAGCAATATCACCAACACCGATACCTACGTTTGCTTATCTAACAGTTAATAGAAGATAAAATTAAAATGAAGAGATACCTCGTTCTATGCTTCCTTCTCGTCTAGCGAGGTTCTGATAATAATGACAATATATGGGAGATGTGTTATTCAGCGTATTTTACTATATCAAATATTTCTTCAATTTATTTTCACATTCGTGCCCCATACCATGGAATTTTTCTCCTCTGTATAAAGTAATCTAGGTGCTCTACTCCATTTTTCCTTATATTTATGTTCATGATAATCGGTCGTGAATACGAGGAGAAAGAAGACACTTCAGAAACAATGTTGTCGTACTTAAATATGCAGCTCTTTTCTCTCTTTCTAATGTCAAAATCTTTTTCTTCTTCTCTTCCACTTGAGTTGAGCGCTCTTTCAGCAGCAATGGAGAAGCCCATAAGAAGAATGAAACTTGATACTCTTTCACATGTTTTTTTAAATAATTAGTGTAACTCGCTTTGTAATTTTATATATTGCCACAATTTTTCTGCTTCATGTTTCCCTTCTCATTATTTCCTATTTCGTCTGTCATGTCCTCGATTTGCCTACTTTTTTCATGCAGTATATTCTGCGTTGTGCGTTTTCTACTTGCAACTTTACATAATGTCTTTTTTAAGGCGTCTTTTTGTTTTGGTAAATAGATAGATAGATAGATAGATGGACATAATGCATAAATATTCATATGGTTAAAAGATATATATGAAATTAGATTGATAGATACATAGGAAGATTATTATAGGGATAGCTCAGCAGATTTATTTAGCCCATGTCGAAAGTAAAATTATCGAGCGATAAAAGTATCGAAGAAAAACATTGTTATCTGTCTTCAGCCTGATTTTGATTTATTTGCTGTGACGAAATTTTTATATTTTGACATTTTATCTGTCAATCAAAGGACGGGGGCGCATAAGATACCGTTTTGGCCCATTTTGATTTTACTATGAACTGATATTGAATTATATACCATAAGAAAGAGCTTCTCAAGACGAACATTTTAATGCCAAATTCATGANAAAAATTTACTGCTTCATTCCTACAGGACTAGGATGGGAAACACGATCGATCTGTTCCACTCGCTCAGAATTACAGTTCACACCTCTATCATGTCATCCTTGCGAGAAGAAGAATTAAAATGTAGATATACAGGGTGTTAAAAAACAATTACGCCCCCTCAACAACTTAAAGTATCAATGATATCACAAATGTATTTTATACCGAATTAAAGCGCGTCAAAAACTGGATGTATTGATATTAAATAGTAAAAGTTATGAAGACCTTTTGATGTCGAACTTAAAAAATTTTCAGCAATTTGATACTTTTTTGGTGTAGAAAAGTAATGTACCAGTAATTCAAAAATGGAGTAAAACATTTTTCTTCGATATTTTTACATGGTTCAATAAAGCTTGTCGAGCTGTACAAAACTATATGTTTCAAAAATATTTTGAGTCATCTTTTTTGAGATTAATAATTCAAAAAACTACTTGGAAAATCTAAAAAAATATTCAAAAACTTCACTTTTTCCATATGGAAGAAAAGCACTCGTTTTTCCGATAAAATTAACTTTGTTCATTACTTTTGCTGTTGCAGACGTTTTGAAATGTGTTCGTTGGATGCAGTTTCTCATGCAACACCGAATGAACACATTTCAAAACGTCTGCAACAGCAAAAGTAATGAACAAAGCTAATTTTATTGAAAAATGGAGTGTTTTTCTTCCATATGAAAAAAATGAAGTTTTTGAATATTTTTTTAGATTTTCCAAGTAGTTTTTTGAATTATTAATCTCAAAAAGATGACTCAAAATATTTTTGAAACATATAGTTTTGTACAGCTCGACAAGCTCTATTGAACCATGTAAACATATCGAAGAAAAATATTTTACTCCATTTTTGAATTACTGGTACATTACTTTTCTACACCAAAAAAGTATCAAATTGCTGAAAATTTTTTAAGTTCGACATCAAAAGATCTTCATAACCTTTACTATTTAATACCAATAAATCCAGTTTTTGACCCGCTTTAATTCGGTATAAAATACATTTGTGATATCATTGATACTTTAAGTTGTAGAGGGGGCGTAATTGTTTTTTAACACCCTGTATAATCATCGTGTAAATGTTTACGTAACAATTTTACAGCAACAATATATTCCTCGTAGAAGTCCTTTTCTTTTCTCTGTTTATCCATTTTTTGAAGTGCCTTTACATTAATGTCAATAAGAGGTGGTAGCTTTCGTTGCAATAGAGGCATATCACTAGTTGTTGCTTTAGTCGCTGTTATAAATAACTTCTATCTGAATAAAGTGCAAATTGTTATCGATTGCCTGGTGAAGTAGAAAGCTACATATATCTTGCAAGCAATATCAAACGAAAGCAGTCTTGTGATTCTTATGTGAAAGTGAATGGTGTCTTCGCTCAAGGACAAGCGTTTTTCTGTGATTTATAGAGCTATGAGATTGTTTGACTACTGTAAAATATGCTTAAATGGAGAAATTCTCCTTGTGGAATGTCATGTGTTCGATATATCGAGTGATTACAGTCATACTTAATACTAAATGTAAGATTTCGTCATGGAATAAATCTTCAAAATATATGCAACGTGCTATAGAGATAGCATTGAATCTAGGTTTTTTTCTTAGTCTCCTTCTTATCCTCTCCGGATGGGTTTCATTTTTTCTTTACAGTTGTTAGAGATCATGATTCTTTTAAGCCTGTGCAAAGAAAAATGTCTATGTCTAAAAGCTTTAAGTTACTAAATTGGTTATGTCTGCTTTTTCGTGTATTATTATTCACCAGTTGGTTTCATTTATGTTTGATTTGAGGTATGTTTACTCGCTGACTGAAAACATAATTTCACATAGGTTTTGAATATAGGTCTTTGTCTGATAACAGCTTGTTATAGTTGAATCTCAAAAAAAGAATAACTGCATACCATAATTGGTTATATGTAAATATATTCTATAATAAATTTATCTGCAGCAATTAGTTTCTTACTTGGATCTGATGGTTGGTTGCCAAATGTGATTGGCTCATCAAACTAGTCTCTTGCGTAATATCTGTGAAAATAATTGAATTCATGAAGCATGCCTTGATAAATGATCTATCAATAGGTTTCATGATTTTAAGAAATTCTGCAAAGTTTCAGTCATAGCTGTTACTTCCTTCTTAAAGTATTGACTCTTGAAGATTTGATGTTGTGTCCTATTAAGTGAAAATTAGTCATTTGTTAGAACGTTTCATATCTTGACAAGGATCAAGCGTTTTGGCTCAAACTTCATGGGTGTTCATGAAACCATGAGATCTATTTGTAAACAATGTCTCGAAGTAATATTTATGAATTCGGTATCATTTCATATATGTCATACTAGAATTTCGAAGTCCAAGAAAATTATCATAGTTTAAATGTGAACTCCAGTAAAGAGAACTATGAGAAATAGTGAATCTTTCGCGTGTTGTTCTAGTCTAGTTAAGTTCTCACTGTGGATAAAACATTTAATTTATTGGTGCATCACATTTAAATACTTTGTTCGTTAGCAGAGCGAGAGGATAATATTATAATAGACTTGATCTTGCCAATATTTATTGCAGCTAAAGCGAAACGCGAATTCACCAGAAAAATAATGCAATTACACTACTCATAAGCAACGCGGAAAATTCGTTTATATAGTTTCGATATTTAAGCTAATTTTTTATAGACATGTTGTGCTACGTTTCGACCAAGAATCCGTCCATTTTCTTGATCTGTTCGCCAATGAACACCTAAATATATCCGGCTCATATAATTTTCCATTTCAGCTTGTGTAAATGATGAATATTTTCGTGTTCGTACTGGTCGTGGTTTTCCTGTATTTGAATCGATTGTTTGTCCATTGTATTCATCCGATTGAAACTGAAATGAGATTGAATCTGTTTTATAGAAGAGTCGCAATGTTTCAAAACAAGCGGATCCAAATGTTGAATGACCCGAAACATAGGCTGGAAATGGTGGGGTAAAGTCTGTGTCGACACCATCACCCTGTGATCCTAAAGGTAGCCAGTTTGGATCAGCACGAGTATTACCAGTAGCTCGACGAATGGCAACAATGGGACGCCAAAATCGATAAAAGTATTTTGCATCCCATGCAGCAAAACCAGCATCACCAAGTGCCACGTTAACTAGTGCAAATAAACGTGCATTCTGCTCTAAAGTATTATTCTTTTGCATAGCTATGACTCGAACGACTTGATTATAGAGACGTGGTGGTACGCCTAGTTTCGGTACTCCATCATAACCCCAAGCAATACCAATATGTGTCTGATCCTCTGTACGAACTTTACTTGTTTTTGATCCCAATGATTTGATTTCATTGAATTCTCTCAAATAAGTTGTTGAATTTAAATATGCAAGACGCGATTGGAGCGTGTGGCCGACAACATTTGATGGACGATACTGTGAACTAGAGTCTAATAAAAATGGTTTCACATTGCCCCAATGAACACCTAAAAAACCTTGGTTCGGGTGTGTTGGATCAACGTGATGATAGCCTAACTCAAGTGGAGGTATGTATGTCTGATTTATCCGACTGCCGTCGTCGATTCGATTTTTCAAAATGCTATCAGCAATGAAACGACCAATAAAAATACCTCTATTGATGGAATTCTGCTTGATGGTGTTACTTGGAATCCGCCCCAAATATGCATTACGAACTGCAACAAATATCTTCTGCTGTTTAGGATACATATGAGACAATGTCTGAAATGCAGCTTCGGTGATAGCTGCATCGATAGCAGGTCTTATAGGAACATTATTCATCACAGGTATATTGCCATATTTGAATATTGGTTTATAAACTCGATTGAATGCAATCATTGAATCATGCATAGCACTGTGAACAATGGCAAAGGCACGTGCTGTAGCTCCTGGGCCATATTGATCAGGGGTGGGAACCAACAAAGGATCGTAATCATTACCACAAGCTTGTAACATGACCAGATTCCAAAAAAGTATTGGATCCATGGGTGTCGTTCGTATTTGACCTACCAGCATGTTAATATGCTGTTGTGCAAAAACATAACGACTCTGAATTTGATTATTCTCAATCATTGGTACCATTGCCAATAGGAATATGATGAATTTCATATGAAGACGTGCACAGACCATACTGGATTGTATATTGACAAATACGATTAGAACCACTTATATTCGAGATTTAAACGATTGCTGTACAAAGACGTTAAATGTTAGTCAAATAGAACTATACCTCTGAAGATGAAAATATTTGACAAAATGTACGACCACAAACAGAGCAAAGAAAAGATAAAAGTACGAAAGAGAGAGAGAGAAAGAGAGTACTCACTTTGTGGATATCAACAGCGTGCTAAATGTTGAATTTGAGTCGTGAGTCAAAGAATATCAAAATATCAGATCTGATCTCATGATACTACCTAAAGACATCAACACTCAACACAAGAGCCAAAATTGTTTTCGAAATAATTTATTATTTGCATATTCGTTTTCACCAAATTTGGCCGTAGCATCTTAGCTTTGTTTTCGAACCAAACATACTGCTCCAAAACTACCCTGTTTACATTTTTCAGAATGTATATCTTGAGATTTTGTTGACATTCTCGGAACTGTTAGATCACTGAACCATAAAAAGGATTTTTGTTGCACCTCTTTATTAAATTTTGGCAACATCAATGAATTGATTTTCCCATAATTGGCTATGACAATTTTCCAATAATTAAAAAACGTGAAGAGGATTTAAAACGTGACCGATGATTGAGAAATACGATTTTCTATTGTGATAAGACAAGTGCAAAACTGTGTCAAAAAATTTCTCAACAAAAGATGAAATCGAAAATTATAAGATTTATTGATACAATATTGAGAATCTACCATGATAGGTTCTATTAAATAATCATTACATGAGCGTAACTGCCAAGAAATAATTGCGTATGTGCACTTGGCAGATATAATTTTTCTTTCAGTTTTTAATTCATCATACGAAATGTACGGATTCTGTCGACCGTTAGTTGTGACTGTCACAATAAAGCAGTTCTGACCTAAGTATTATTTTTCATTGTATTTTTTTCGCCTTCGTTTTCTTTTCTATACGGCAAACAATACTAACAGCTATTACGACAAATAAAGCGATATCAAACAGTGTCTGAATTTTTCTCTGTTTAGTGAAGAACCGAGGCATTGTATTATTTTGGAAGATGCTAATGTGTCGACATTTTTAAGCTCTTTCAAGATTATATCAATCCTCAAAATGTACTGTTTCCATCAAAGATATATTTCTTTGACTGTTTCAAGCGAGAAACTCATCCATTCAATATCTTCACAAACTGTATGGTTTCACAGAAAAATTCTAATAACATGAGAAAATCGGATGAATATGGAAAGGTAGCATAATTTTTCGTTGCCTTGACAGAGTTATTGGCTTGTTCAATAATGATAAACTTTGAATGTCAAAATATTCTGTTTTTCAAATGCTAATCATAGAGAAGTGAAGCTTTTATTGATCGTCCAAGATAGTAATATAAACAAAAGAACAAGATAAAGATTTGAAGGCTACTGATTGTGCTCTTTTCGAATTGTACACTACGGATACAAATGAAATATTCTGTGAAACACAATCTAAAAAGAGTGTTGAAATATATAGGATAGGAATTCACATCCACTCCCTTCTCCATACAGTGAGAGACAGCCTGCCACCCCGCCACCGACTGTAAAAAATCTCGTTGATATACTATCAAAAACCGTATATCGATGCCGTTTTATTATAATATATTAACTACTTTTGATTCCAGTTCTGAAGGAATAAGTAAAAGAATGGCTTAGAAATGTGCTGCAAGATAGGCAGAATAAAACAATCCTCCTGTAATAACTACGAGCAGCTACATTGTGTTTGATATTTTAATCACGCAGGGATTGTGCTAACTACTTTTTACTACAAAAAGTCTTAGTAGAAGCTATCCTAATACATCGATTTGATAAATTAGCTTGATCTTTGAAACGATATATTTTATATCCTATTTTTTAAAGATCATCTGAAAAAGACAATTTACAGATACTTTCTACAATTTCTCATCATCAGTCATCATGAAAGGATTTTACGTCGAAAGTAGAGTACTTTGATTAGGTTATATTTTTGATGCAGACAAATCTGAATGTAATAGTAATACTATTCCTCTTTGGTTCGTCAGCCCGCTGGTTTATAAGTTTTTTTCCTCTTAAACTTTGACTTTTGACTCCACACACTAAATCAAATATGAATCAAACGTCCCGGGGTTATACGATGAGAAATCAATGAGATAAAGAAGTAACGAGATCATTTTTCAGTTACGAGTTTCGATCTTTCATCCTCATTCAACATCACCCTTTAGCCTCGACGATTCGTGCACGATTTGTAACAAGCAGTGGTGTATTCATAAACCTCCTCAGTCAGGATCTGTCGGGTGAACAAACGGTCACCCGAATAATGCAGCACTGTCAAGAAAAGCTTCACATGAAGTCGACTTAGTCGCAAAACAAAATCAAAATAGAGATTGTGATGTAGAAAAATGTCACGACGCCTAGTTTTGTAGAACTGAATTGCTTTTGGAGAAATGCTCAGTTTTTAACAGGATTCGTTATGAAATTTGTATATCAACAATGTTGCTATTTAAAACTAGATTATTAATCAGTATCAACGTGTATACAGTGAGAACATTTGATTCTTACAGAGCATAACAGATATGTGTTTCTATACACAGATGTGGCCGTCGACTTCTGTTCACTTATACCTCCACATTCACATTCATAAACCATCCATAGTTTCGGATAAAACTTCGTATACTTGCGGTCTGTTTGACTATTTTGTGAATGTGGTGGAAAACATGATTTCAATGATTTATAAGAGTTTTATGTGGGTTATTCTTCTGACATGAGTAACAAGCTGAATTTTGATTAACTTTGCATCATTTTAATGGAGATTTCTTTTGAAGATTGGCGGCTCACTTTATAATATAGGGATGGACTTATGCAGATAGTTTTATGGCTACTAGTTTAGTATCTTGAAGCAGATAAGTCAAGTTCGGGTCGACTTCTCTCCATTTTTGTTTGGAAGAGTTATGATTTCTTACAGGCTAACAAAATAAAACAGCAGTGAATAATAAATTATTACATAATGATTAGAACTAAAGAAAGCTGAACATAATTTGTAGCAACATTTCTATTTTCTGCGTATGACTTCAATCACAAGTAAACTGCAGCTAAACACAAAACACTAAAAGAAAATTCCAAGAGAAAATAATAGAGAATATGTCTCAACAAAAAATAGAAATAGAGAATACAGCAAATATAACGTAACTTACGGTGTCTGAAAACTTTGATATGTTCCCGAACGAGAGTCTCATATTATCTCAAACCCATCAAGTTATAATTAATTTTTGAGGGACTTGCCATAGTTGAGAAGGCTTCCTAGTTTTGTTGTTATGCTATCGCTACAGTAGATTTCTCTAAGTGTTTATTAAGTCTTACTTCATACTGATCAAAATCATCTCTACAACATGCCAAACTCGTGATATCTTTCAATCCTCAGAAACTATACCGACTTCAAACTTAAATAATGAACATGTTCAACTTTAGCTGTCTGCCTTCTTACACAATAAAACCATATGAAAAGTGACCCAATAAAGTCAGGAAAGAAAAAGTCACAAAATTATTTACTGATTACTTTTAGTTCAGTTTAGGATATTGTTAGAAAAATTTTCCTTAAACCTTTATGTGCATTTTGGATCGACCTTAGACAACTTTCTATGCATTCTCCACAACATAACTTTGTTCCTAACTCAGCTCCTAAACGTATAAAACTATTATCTATATATATAATGTTCAATGCATATCTGTGTGTGTGTCTGCGCCGGGGTCAAAGGTCAAAGGTTAAAGGTCGAATAAAGCTATAAGGAGTAAGCCTATAAGGGAGTAAGGCTATACCGGGGTAAGCCTTTAACGCGGTAAGGGTATAAAGGAGTAAGGCTATAATGAAGTAAGGCAATAAGGGCTAAGGCAACAAGGCAGTATGGGTATACGGGAGTAGGACTATACGCGGAAGTAGGCTATAAGAGGGAACTGTATAAGGGGGTATGGCTATAAATGGATAAGTTCATAAGGCAGTAAGACAACAAGGGAGTACGGCTATAAGGGAGTACAGCTGTAAGTGAGTACGACTATAAGAAGATAAGACTAGGAATGATAAGGCTATACGGTGGTAAGGCTCTAAGGAAGCAAGTCAATAAGGGGATATGGCTATTAAGTGGTAAGGCTATAAAGCAGTAAGGCAGTAAAAGGATAAGACTATAAAAGAGGCATGCTATAAGAGGGTTAGACTATAAGCGCGTAAGGCTACATGGAGTATTGGCGATATAAGCATATCATGCCGTACGGCTTCTATGTACATAATGTCGAGTGTCTCTGTGTCTGGTATCGAGTGAAAGGTTAAAATTTTGAGGTCGTACGTTGAAGAAAAAATGCTGCCGTACAATATGCACGGGATCTCGCTAGTCGTACTCCATCTTAGTGTTGTTATATTTAATTTGTTGCTTTTGAGTGACTACTTCTCAGTATATTATTACGGCTTTGACTTTCTTTACATTGACAGGTAGCATGTTGTTGTCCTCGAATTTTTCTAAATATTTTAAAATTGGTTTGTCTGTTTTTTTTCTAGCGTACCCTGTACAAGAAAAATTATTTCATCAGCATTTAAATGTGGTAGTATTGGAGTAAAATACAATCGCAAAAAGTATACATGTAGTCTATAAAATAAAGCAGCAAGTACAAAACTCTGTGAAGCATCGATAAGGACAATTAAAGTTCAATCAATTGCATTTCCATGACTAATGAAGATCGGTCGGTTCTGCAACCAATTAAAAATCCAACGTTGATGGAAAGTGAGATCTCAAAATTTCGCTGTATCTTCATCAGTGCAGGGAACCGCATTATGCCAAATACTACTTGAAACTTGACGAAATTAGTCAGAGTAGGTCTGTTACAAGATGCGGCTGACAATCTCAAGTCATCAACTATGGAAAGAATACGTATTTTGAAGCCATCTGTACCACATGAAAATCGACTGTTCGTCAGTTTGTTTTCCATTATCAGTGCATCAGGTTTCGATTCTCTGCACAAGTATAATTGCAAACCATTTGAATAGATCGGGTAGCAGGAAATTGAAGTAGCACGATGTTTCTTTGGATATGCTTCCTGTTTAGACAAGCAAATATCCTTGGTGTCTCAATCTTCTCGAAAAAGTCTCTTTTCTTTATGGATTTATAGAAAAGAATAAGAATTATGCTCACAAGTGCAGAGATTATGGGTATGGATAGTAACTGTGAAGCGAAATTCCACATATTCGCACTTGAAATTTAATTGATTTTATTACCGCCATTATTTCTTTGTTACAGATTCTTCATATGAATGTAAAACGCATCATTCTTAAAAATTTTATTGCCTTCTTTCGTGAGGTCTTTAAGTTAGAGCCTATGCCTACATCATCAGTGTCTATCGTTGCATCAGCGGGTACCTTCGTATTGCTTAGATTCGTGTCACCATCATTGTTGACTTCGATCTTCACTGCGCTTCTTTTGTCTTTTATCCAGTCTTTTTCATTTCTGTTCTGATGAGAGTTGAACTCGTGACAACTACATACTTTTGTATACTTTCATAATCATGTTTACAAATCTAGGTGATCCGTCACGGCAGGATTAACAAAATCTAGAACCGAACAGAACCACACGAATTTCGGGATGAAAACAGTTCCTTGATTATTTATTCTAGATATTTTTAGATTGATCTCTTCGATGTTGAACAAAATGAGCAAAAAAGAAATGACTTGATGGTCATTATACGTCATACAACACTCAAATATAAATGAGAAATTCTAAATTAATAATAGTGAACTACTCTTTTTGAGTGTTCAACTTCTAGAACTTAAATGTCATGGGTTCATTAACAATATTCGCATCATTTGGATTTTCATTCGTATATTTTAGATCATCATTCGTCTCTTGGTCATTCGCTTTGTATTTCTCACGTGGACCAAAACAAGCTCGACGTAGCAAACGATAAATCGGTTCTAGTATTAGCTTGTACAATATGAACACTAGACCAAATATTTCCAAACAAACTATTGTAAATAAGATGGTTCGAAATATAATCTCGGCTTGTTTAGCTATTGGCTCTTGTACATTTTTGACATAGAAGGGTGTTTCACTTATCACGATCGTCATTATTGTTTCTTGTGATGTTGATCGACCGTATTGGTCTTGTGAAAGAAATAAACTATCTGTATTAGTCCCATATGTAAGAATGTAGATTCCGGTAAAGTTGCCCTCTTCACCTTCCATCGGTAATGTTTCATTGATGACTTTTGTTAGCGATAGAGCTACAGGCAATGTTCGTGCTAGAACAGATCCATTCTTTGAAAAAGATTGAAAAGCATGCAACTCTTTCAAATTATATAATTCTTCTTCATGTGAATGACCACTTAGTCCTATGCGTAGAGCACCAATAATCTGAATACTGTCTAGAGTAATTTCTACAGACGTGAGCTGAAAAGGCAACGGAATCGATAAGGATAGAATCGAATGAACATTTTCACATGTGGACCAACGAATCGTCGACCAAGTCGTGCCAAATAGAGCTCTAAGTGATATGACATCACAATTAATCAGTGTATTAATAAAATCGACATTAAGCGTCAAGTTTTGATCGTTTAACAACTCAAACATATTCTTTTCGGTTTCCGAAGGTGGTATAGCCAATGATTCAAGATTTGTTTGAAATTTAGCATTACGAATTGCTGGATCGCAAGCAAAATACGAGTCAGACGTTGTTTCAATAGGATATTGCTTGAAATAACCATTGCTAAATACATAGGCAAAACTAACCATAACTACCAGTGAAAATGAAGCTAAACCACCCACCCATAATTCACCTTCACGAATCAGATCTGTTTTTTTAAATACGGATTTTATTCCTCGTCTTAATCGAGTACTTATTCGATGCGTGTTGAAACAGTGCAGTATTCCAACTACTATCAGTATGAATATACCTACACCGGCTACGATCAATGTCCAAAATAAAGGGGATACAACCAAGCAATGTCCTTTTCCTATTTGGAACATATTGTGAATTAGTATCTCTTCAAATATGGTACTTTCTGGAGATTCCGGATAGGCAATAACTTGTACGACAGTTTCCAATGCAGAATGAGATATTTCATCCACTGAACCAACAGAACAAAATGATTCAGATGCACATAGTATACATTTAATTGTAGCATTGCCAGGATTTTTCATGCCAATTGGACAAAGGATACAATCATTTATACCGTATTGATCTTTATACATACCCGGCAGACATGGTTTTTCCGATGTAATAAATGGTATTATTCCTGTCTCTGGTATCGATGGATAGAAGCCCGCTGATGTGGGGTTGAATATTAGCAAACTACCGATATCATCCATTAAAGTTATTGATTTCGGTGATGAAATGACATTTAAAAATACGGAACTAAAACTTTTCGGCAATAACTGATGATAATTAGGGAAAACTGAGAGCGGAGTACTGTTAGAATTGTAAGTGCTTGATATCATGTCATAGAAATGAATCTGAGATGATGACCACTGATACGTCAATGAATAAGTATTAACAAGTATAGCAGCCACGTTTCCACCATCTAGCCAGGCTACACTTCGTCCATTTCCTAACGATCGACCGTTCGTATGTCTGCTGACATTAATTAATTGTATCGGATTGCTAATGTTTACCGAAAGTAAGAATACTCGATTGAGGAATTGCATGCCAACTAAAACATCACCACGACTATTGATACTAATTGACATACTATATTTTGCCGAATAGATATCTGCATCAGCATTGGTTAGTAAATCTTGCCATGTATTTGCAGTAGCTAATGGTATATGTTGATCAACAACAATTGGATGGCGATTTGAGGAATTAAAATTAAGTAAATAAATGATCGGACTATATTTGACTGTATCGTTTTGATTATTTTTAATGAAGCCGGCAATGATGCCGAAGTTGTCACTGATTTCAACGGCATGAGGTGTAAATGAAGTATTCGACCATGTTAAACTGCTATTCCACGATTCCAAAGTTGAAGCATTCTGAGAATCGAATATGCAGACAAAGGCATTAGAAAATCCATAGGCAAGAAGGCCTTTCGGTTCAACTCCGATGACGAAATACTCTTGATGTTCATAATTGTTTAGATATTGCATCGAATAAGTAAAACTCGTAGCACAAGAGTTCGACAAATTGGATAGTGTATTCGTGAGATTGTATTTTGCTACGCCCATAAATGTTCGGTTGCTACCATTGACCGATTCACCGGCAAAGAAAAATTGTGTTTGATTTTGATTCGGCTTCTTGCCAACGGCAACACAATAAACATAATTTTCTAGGAGATCAGAATAGGTAGTGAAACATTGAGGTGAATTTTGTGTATTATTGTAAGGTGCAAATTGAATAAAAAAACTCGGTGGGTCTCTAGCGTTATGAGCTTGTACGAGGAGAATGTCATTTATAGCTACTTTTACGCCATATGCATCGTAATCAGTTGGATCAGGGCTAAAGACACTAGTCAGATAATGAATATGCAATAGTAATAAAAAGCTAATAATGGTGTGGTCAATGCAATTCATATTCTTGTTTATTGAATCGATCTTGCAAGCTCTCGAATACTTGAAGTACAGTTTTGATATCTGAAAGATGTCAGAATAAAGAGAAAAAAATCACAATCCTTAAGTATCCAGTGATATATAACGCTTGTTAGCTGTCATCAAGTAGCGCAAGAAACTAAACCAATTTTTTTAAATTTGATCATTCAGAATCAATTCTAAGTAAAACCCGTACATGAAATTCAGAGATCTAAAGTGCAAATAGCTAATGTCGAACCGATATAAAAATTTCAGAAAAAAACAAAAGCTCAACACCGAATGAAAACATCATACGAAACATGGTATTGCGCATTTATCTCTGAACATTCTCCACGAAATTGAGTCAGCACCATTCCGATTGGATATAGAACTATGGAACTCTACTACGCCATTAGTGTTTGTACATGAAGTATCCTTGTCATGATCCTTGAAGACTGATAAAACCAGGTGTTCTAGTCACCTCCTATTCATACTGTACTGTATTCTATTGACTTTATATGGATAACTCTGTACAGAAGTGCAACTAGGTTCCGGGCGTTAGATTTAGTAGGAAAGTTTTCGAAATGAGATCGTATTTTTGAGAAAAGAGAACAAGAGTTTCTGAAGAAGCAGCGGAGAAGCGTGAGATGAGAAAGTTGCATCGAGGTCAAGCATTTTTCTACTGTCAGCGAGCCATGAAGGCACTATTTTTTGAACTTTCATGGAAGATGAGGCACACTTTCCCTCCATCTTCTAAATTCTGCACCCTTGATCCTCTAGTCCAAATTAATAGTTGTTTTACTTCATCCAATAGGCAATTATTCATACACTGCTATATTAAACAGGGGATTTCTATTTATTTTACTTTTCATAGCATTGTTAGAGAACAAAACAGCAAGATGAGGTGCTTTTTATGTTACTTTTCAACCACTAATTCTAACAGGGAGAACTACAGTACTGATGGTTTACTTATGTCTGCATGAGAGCAACAACAAGCTGTAATGTCATATTGATCGATGTTACATGCAAGTATTGGCAGATGTGTAATAAATCAATGACCGAACGTCCCCATTACCGAAAAGTGACAATCACTCAAAGAATAGCATATTTCTGATTTATCCTCAGACGTCTTCTTGAGACCGACTGAACTAACTATGACAGAAAACTATTATTATTCCCTTCAAATTTGCTGTGGCCTACTGTTTGTTTTTGAGTAAATTGAGAATGTAGCACGCTATCAAACTGTGACTTGCACCAATTACTAGAGAACTTTCGGGAAAATAAGTCGACAAGAAAACGGATACTTTCTGATTTTTTAAAGACGTAACATTTCGACAGCCTTTCGCAGAATTATTTACTAACAGGAGCAGCACATTTACTTTACTATTTCTTTAGGCAAATAAAATAAAGGAAATAAAATAGTTACTTAAATAAAGGTAAATATTATATAAAACTTGTTCGAATTATTGAATAAATAATCAAGCTAGTATAACAATCACTAGTATGAATTTAACGTCATAATAGAGTCTACATTAGATACTTGATTTTATTAAAAGAACTCATATCAATAAGTAATGTAATAAGACGGGATATATAGAACCCTGGCGAAAAATCATGTGGCACTCAAGAATAGCTCTTCAAGATTTTATCTTCTATTCGAACTAAACCTTATAATCTGATGGGTATATTTACTAGGTAAGTCCTCATTTCATACTATACCGATGCAAAACTTCCAGTATCAATATAATACAAAAGTTTAACTACTAGCGATAGTTCGCCTATGTAGTAAGTTTAATTTGAATCGAACATAAAATTTTGGAGAGCCATTCTTGAGTGTCCCAGAATTTTTTGAGAGGGCTGCACATTTGTTTGCTCGATTAGCTATTCAGATGAATGACAAATACCTTTCACCATTTACTTATACAATATGTTGCGCATATAACAGATTATATACGTAAATGGTTAAAGGTATTTGTCATTCATCTGAGTGGTTAACCGAGCAAACACATGTTTGCATATATTTTGTGATTTCTGTTTCTTTTATGAGCCAGCCTACGTAAGCCACGACCGACAGTGCTCAATCGATATCCTTCAATTCAGCTCATTTTAACATATATTATAGAGGCAAGAGTTTGATGATTTTTGGCGAAAGCCGATTCAAAAAATATTGAACCCTTGAAGTTTTTATCGAATTTCTACGAAGAGCTCTATTAAATCCCACTTTAACGAAGGGGGATTTTGGACACCCTATATCTCAAGAACGACAACCGATTGAACTGAAAGTTTTTGTTGATATATATATACACCAACAAGTTCTTCACGTGGTAACAATTTCAGCTTCTACAGTTGAGCCCTTGGTATTTTATGGATTTCACTATTGGAGGAAAAAATGACTATTTTGGACAACTTTCGTACTCCATATCTCCGCACTGCAAAATGATAGAGATCTAGAATTTTTTTTACAATCGTATCCCACTGAGATCTCATTACATTTAAAATTTCAGCTTCCTAGAAAGAATTGTTCGTTCAGGGTACTTTAGACAAAAATGGGATTTTTTTCTCGACAATCCCATTTTGGACCTCGATTTCCTCAAAAGATAAGACTCAACTTTTTCCAGAAATTGTCAAGTTTTAAGCACCACACTTTGTTCTACAACTTGAAGCAAGAACCAGCTTGGGACGCATAGAAACGGCTTTAAAATTGATTCATCGCTTTTGCTTCAGAGAAGGCAACAAAGGGGCCGCGTACTTCGAAACTGAGAACAGAAATAGTGGCAAGGAATTTTCAAATTGAGAATTTCTATGAAATTTCGAATGAGAAACAGCATGACACTACTGGCCCATGTTAATCTAATCCTGAATATAGCATACTCGCTTTGCAATGCATCGGCGACCCATATATGGCTACTGAAGCATAGATCTAAGATGATAGTGACATTGCAGAGCGCAAAACAACACTTTTAATATAATTATTTATGTGTGAATACGATAACGATAGCTTCTCATAGATATTGAGTATTATTCTATGCTGGGTTTTATGGCCAAAAGCCACGGCTTTTCAGAAAACGAAGAAAACAAAAGTCAAAATTTGAAACACAGACCTAGCCCCTCTGAAAGAGCACATTGGAAAGCCTATCGTCCTAAATTTTCATTCAATTAAAATATTCTGGACTGGAATAAATATGCATTCAATATGGTGACGGCATATGATTTCTTTTAACAGAGGGATCGTCATCGTGAAGTAGACATAATTTCTTTGCAGAAGATGTTAATTGGATGAAAATTTAAGACAATATATTTTCCAATGTGCTCTTTCAGAGGGACTAGGTCTGTGTTCCAAATTTTGACTTTTGTTTTCTTCGTTTTCTGAAAATCTTAGTCATCGACTCATACACCCCATCTGAAAATTTGCAAACATACACAATATCTATAAGAAACTGTCACCATTGCGTTCAAACATAAGTAGTTACATTCAAAAATGTCTTTCCAGCTATCTGCTACAGTCATTATCACATATTTATATTTCAGTAGCCACATATAAGCCTCCGATGCATTACATTGCGATTATGCCAGATTCAAGATTAGATTAACATGAACGAGTAGTGCCATGTTATTTGTCATAGGAAAATTCATATAGATCCTCAATTTGAAAATTCCTTGCCACTATTTCTGTTCTCAGTTGCGAAGTACGCGGCCCCATTTTTTGCCTTTTCTGAAGCAGAAACGATGAATCAATTTTAAAGCCGTTTCTATCCATCCCAAGTTAGTTCTTGTTTCAAGTTGTAGAACAAAGTTTGGAGTTTAAAATTCAACAATTCCGGGAAAAAGTTGAGGATTATTTTATGAGAAAATCGAGGTCCAATATCGGGTTTGGAGCAAAATATCTAATTTTGCTCAAAGTCTTTCCAGTGAGCAGTTCTCTCGAGGAACCTGAAATTTTTTACATGATGAGATATGGTCAAGATATGTTTTAAAAGAAAATTCAGGCCTCTATCATTTTCCAGAGAGACGATATGAACTCCCATAATTGACCAAAGTAGTGATCTTTTCCTCCAATAGAGAAATCCATAGAATACCAAAGGCTCAATCGTTGAAGCTGAAAATTCTTTTATGCACAGAAGTTACTGATGTATGCAACCACAAAAAATTTCATCTTTACTGGTGGAATCCTTCTCAAGATAAAGGGCGCCCGAAATCCACTTTGGACAAAGTGGCATTTTATAAAGCACTTCGTAAAAGTTCGATAAAAACTAGAGGGTTCAACATTTTTTTGTTTCGGCTTTCGCTAAAAATCATCAAACTCTTGCACCTATAACATAGGTTAAAATTAACTGAATTGGAGGATATCGATTGAGCGATCCCTACTTTGATCGATCGTGACTTACGTGGACTGGCTCATATATGTTCTTTAGTCTCATCCCACGTCGCCTCTTTTTTACCACCTGCGTCGCAGCTACGCGCAGAGTCAATTCTGCGTCGCGTTTGTGCGTAACTGCGGCGCATTGATCACAGTGAAAATCTGTATCAGAAACTACGGTTACTGCGATGCAGACCAACGTAACTGCGTAGCAGTAATCGCATCG